ACACACACACACACACACACACACACACACACACGCACGTCTGTGAAAGAGATCAGGCTGTGACTTTAGGGGGGTTCAATAACATGGAGATTTTGTTCTGGCTGGTTTATTTCTGCACCTGTCCAGTGTCCACAGTTAACACACACATTTCTAGGTGTTTAAAGTGGAGTTTTGGCTGTTGCTATGCAGTTGCTAGGGTGTTCTAAATGTTGTTAGGAAGTTGCTAGGATAATGCAAGTCTTTTAGCAGATGCTATATAATTGTTAGATTGTTTTATGCTGTTTCTATGCAGTTTCTAGCGTGTTCTGAAAGTTTTAGGTTGTTGCTATACAGTTGCTAGGTTACACTGAGTGTTTTACGCAGTTGCTAAGGTATTCTGAGTGATTTAGTCCGTTACTCTGCAGTTGCTAGGGTGTTGTGAGTGTTTTAGGCTCTTGCTATGCAGTTGCTATTGTGTTGTGAGTTGTTTAGTCTGTTGCTAGGGTGTTCGGAGTGTTTAGACTGTCGCTATACAGTTGCTAGTGTATTGTGAGTGTTTTAGGCTGTTGCCATGCAGTTGCTAGTGTGTTCCATGTATTATAATCTGTCGCTATGCACTTGCTAGGGTGTTGTGAGTGTTTTAGGCTCTTGCTATGCAGTTGCTAGTGTATTGTGAGTGTTTTAGTCTGTTGCTATGCAGTTGCTAGGGTGTTCTGAGTGTTTAGTCTGTCGCTATCCAGTTGCTAGTGTGTTCTGAGTGTTTAGACTGTCACTATGCAGTTGCTAGGGTATTGTGAGTGTTTTAGGCTGTTGCCATGCAGTTACTAGGGTGTTCTGAGTGTTTAGGCTGTTACTATGCAGTTGCTAGAGAGTTCTGAGTGTTTAAGCTGTTGCTATGCAGTTGCTAGTGTGTTCTGAGTGTTTAAGGCTGTTGCTATGCAGTTGCTAGGGTGTTCTGAGTGTTTTAGGTTGTTGCTATGTGGTTGCTGGGGTGTTGTGTGTGGTTTCTAGGTGTTTTCTTCCTGTCTGGTGTGAGTAGAGTCTCGGTGATGATGTGATTCAGGTCTCTCTTTCAATGTGATTTGCTTTCAGGTGTTTTCTGGTTCAGCAGGTAAGATCAGTGCATCTGATCACTCAGAAAAATAGCAGCAGATTCAAGATGTGAGGAATCATTCATGTGTGGAGCTCAAACGCAGCAGGAGTGAGTCTGTATTCTGCAGCAGATCAGGAGCAGATGGAGTGAAACTATGGTCACACACACACACACACACACACACACACACACACTCGCCCCTCACACCTCATCAGTGTGACCCGCTCGCTGCACCTGTGCCGAACTGACCAACACACATGCAGGAGAACACACACTTTATCTGTTCAACATCAAGACCAACACCCACACCCACACACACACACACACACAGGTTTGTTTTTGTGAAAAGTGGGGACATCCCATAGGCGTAATGGTTTTTATACTGTACAGATCGTATATTCTATTGCCCTACACCAACCCTACCCCTAAACCTACCCCTCACAGGAAACTTTGTGCTATTTCAGATTTTCAATACACTCCATTCTGTGTGATTTATAAGCGTTTTGAAAAGTGGGGACATGGGGTAATGTCCTGAAAAGTCACCTTCTCCTTGTAATACCTGTCATACCTTTGTCATTATACAAATTTATGTCCTCATTTGTCACAAAAACGCGCACACACACTCACACACACACACACGCATGTTGTGTTTGCATGTTTTATGGGGCACACACACACACACACACTTAAACGCTGCTCCTGAACATACAATGTAAAACAGCTGATGTGTGCGTGAAACAAACACTCAACAAACTAGCATTCAGTCTTGTCTTTTTCTGAGAAAGAAAGAGAGACAATTGGTTTTAGACTGTTGCTATGCAGTTACTAAGCAGTCGATAGGGTATTTTGAGTGTTTTAGGTAGTTGCTAAGTTATTTCTAAGAGTTTTTGAAAGTTTCAGGCTGCTTCTGTTCAGTTACTAAGGTGTTCTGAGTGTTTAGGCTGTTGCTATGGAGTTGATAGGGTGTTTTGAATATTTTAGACTGTTGCTATGCAGTTGCTAAGGTATTCTGTGTGTTTTAGACTGTTGATATGTAGTTGCTACGGTGTTCTGAGTGTTTAGGCTTTTGCTATGTAATTGCTGGAGTATTGTGAATGTCTTAGACTGTTTCTATGCAGTTGCTAAGGTATTCTATGTGTTTTAGACTGTTATGTAGTTGCTAGGGTGTTTTGAATATTTTAGAATGTTGCTATGGAGTTGCTAGGGTGCTCTAGTTGTTTTAGACAGTTGCTAGGGTGTTATGGGTGTTAAAGGCTGTTGCTATGTACACACACACACACACTTAAACTTTCCTGAGCATACAATGCTCATGTTTGTGAATGAAACACTCAACAAATTAACAATGTAACATTCACTCTTTTTTTTTTTTTGAGAGAAAGAGAGAGAGATGCGGAAGGAAGTTCCGCCCTCATTTTGGACTTCATTCCTTCAACCTGCAATTGCTATAATGCTGTGCAGATGTAGAACAATATCAAGAGCTCCAACACACACACACACACACACACACACACTGGGGTCTGGCTTTACCATCAAACACTAATCTATTCCACATGAACCACAGCGAGAGCTCTCTCTCTCTCTCTCTCTCACACACACACACACACACACTCACTCACTCACTCACTCACTCACTCACTCACTCACTCACTCACTCACTCACTCACTCACTCACTCACTCACTCACTCACTCACTCACTCACTCACTCACTCACTCACTCACTCACTCACTCACTCACTCACTCACTCACTCACTCACTCACTCACTCACTCACTCACTCACTCACTCACTCACTCACTCACTCACTCACTCACTCACTCACTCACTCACTCACTCACTCACTCACTCACTCACTCACTCACTCACTCACTCACTCACTCACTCACTCACTCACTCACTCACTCACTCACTCACTCACTCACTCACTCACTCACTCACTCACTCACTCACTCACTCACTCACTCACTCACTCACTCACTCACTCACTCACTCACTCACTCACTCACTCACTCACTCACTCACTCACTCACTCACTCACTCACTCACTCACTCACTCACTCACTCACTCACTCACTCACTCACTCACTCACTCACTCACTCACTCACTCACTCACTCACTCACTCACTCACTCACTCACTCACTCACTCACTCACTCACTCACTCACTCACTCACTCACTCACTCACTCACTCACTCACTCACTCACTCACTCACTCACTCACTCACTCACTCACTCACTCACTCACTCACTCACTCACTCACTCACTCACTCACTCACTCACTCACTCACTCACTCACTCACTCACTCACTCACTCACTCACTCACTCACTCACTCACTCACTCACTCACTCACTCACTCACTCACTCACTCACTCACTCACTCACTCACTCACTCACTCACTCACTCACTCACTCACTCACTCACTCACTCACTCACTCACTCACTCACTCACTCACTCACTCACTCACTCACTCACTCACTCACTCACTCACTCACTCACTCACTCACTCACTCACTCACTCACTCACTCACTCACTCACTCACTCACTCACTCACTCACTCACTCACTCACTCACTCACTCACTCACTCACTCACTCACTCACTCACTCACTCACACACACACACACACACACACAAATCACTAATACACACTTGTAATTTAGGACATAACATTGACTTTGCTTTTTAATAAATCCAGGTATTTATTATAACTTTTCATTATTTTATTTTTTTCATTCTTTCAGCTTTAACTCTTAAGACAATTTTGTCATTAAAGAACTACACATGCATACAAGAAAAATGTTATATTTATATTTTTATCCTTTGCCAAAATTAGACATTTTAATTTTGTCAGATTAAACTTACTTTTAAGGACAATTTAGCAACTGCACTTATAAAAAAATTGTATTTAAATAAAAAAAAAATTGTATACAAACAATTGCAAAATTGTTCCTAGTTATTTAAAATAACTTCAGACCCAAATCTTAATAGAAAACATAAAAGTTTTTACTTAATTGTATGGATATAAAATTGTATATAAAATGTTATTTTATATAAATATATATATATATATGTTAACCTAATGTTATTCACATTAAAATATGGGATGCATGGAAAGCAAATGTATTTAAACTGCACATTTTATGCGCAATGGTAAGTGTTTTAGATTTAAAAAAAAAAGCAATAAAGTAACTTAAGTTCATTTTAATCTAATAAAAAGAATGAATGAAACATGAATGAACGGAATGCCAAACACACAAACAATCACA